TTTCAGTTTTTAAGTATCTAATGAAGATAAATTGTGCCTTCATCAGTAGTAGATTAGAGCTAGTGGGCCAGTTCAATTCAGTTTGGGTCAGGTAGATATTTAATGAATATCTACAATTTATTTAATGAATAAATACAATTTATTTATGTCGCTTTATAATAAAAAGAATTAATAAAGGCTATAAAATATTTGCTTGCATGCTTGCATTTTTTTTTTAAAATAATTGCCCCAATTTTTTTTTTTTTTTTTTTTTTGTTTGGTGCCCTATTGTGCCCCTGACGCCCCTGCTAAATATTATATATTTGCAGCTGCAGTACAATTCATAACTTAATTAAAAAGTATGTACATTTATATCTTAAACTGTAATAATAATAATATCAATACTATAAATTAGCTTGGAGTTCACATTGGTCTGTTCGACATCAAAAAGCTCTGAGAAAGGCCTTGTATGATTTCAACGCTTTAACACGTTTTTTACGGTAAAAAGAAAAAAAAATAACCGTTGCATTATGGGAGTTAAAGTCTTTTCGGAAAGCGAACCCCTTACAGCGAACGAACGAGGAAGAACGGAAAGCCTACATATCCCATGATTCCTCAGCACTTACCGAACACCTGATTGTCAACAGAGAAATGTCTGCCGTTCGCGTGGAGGAGAGGCTCGCTGAGATGGATAAAGAGGAGAAAATTTGCTCTAACAGGTACACCGCTCTCACGGTGGGGGTTTTGTTCAGTGCCCTAAAATTATTTTTATTCCCAATTTTATGAAATGTTTCATTGTAGGAAAAAAAAAAAAAAATAGTGGTAGCTAAACATTTAAGCTACCACCCACACTGTGCCTTCCCTTAGTAACAAACTAAAAGCCACATACTTTGTATTTGCGAGTTAATTATAAATGTCCTAAACCATCGCAATATCCCTCGTGCACACGGATAGCCAACAGAAATGACTGAATCTTCATAGCAGGCGATAAGCTAACTAACCAATACATGCTCTGGAACTTTAACGTTCATTAAAGGCTCAAATGGTCTAACTACGGTGACAGCAAGTCCTTACATGGTGACAGTTTGTCCTTTCTTCGTGTTGTACCGCGATACATTAATGTTTTAATGTTGGATAAATATATCACATTTTCTCGTTAGGAAAATTAATAAAATTTCAGTTTTAGTGACTAAATGTCCATTTGAATATACACGTGTCATGCGGTCATATATAGAAATCATCTCTGCATCATCACTAGCCTTATGGTAGTTACCGCTATGTACCACAGGAGGTCGCTGCTGCATCACTGTACCTTTCACTTAGACTCATAAAATAACAGCATATAAGAACTACTTGTTTTAATTTGCATAGTTGAACAAAAGCAAATATTGACACTTTGCTAAAATAAAAATTGAGCTCTTGTATTTGGTACATTTTTAAGGTATTTTTCAAGGCTGCATTTTTAAAAACATGAAATTGTTCAGAGAGCTGTTCAAAATGGATTACCGGGGTACTTTTTGTTTTACACTTGCGTAAACAAAATGACATATTAAATTTGTCTAAGTCTAAGACAGGAAATGAATGAATGGTGCAAACACAGAGTAAAAGATTTAAAGTGGAATAAGTAAAGAAAGAAATAAGTTATATAAGTAGATTGATAATATATGTAGACTAATAGGTATTGGGTGATGTAGTGGAGATGTCTGCGTCTAAGGACGGACTGCTGCTAGTAGGGACCTGTTTTGGATGTGTGTGGTCCTGGTCCAGAGGAGGAAGGACTGAAAAAGTGTCTAGGGTGAGGGAGGTCAGGTCCAATCCTATATGCATATGTCTAACTTCTGGAGATAAAAAGATTGAGGAAAGATTAGAGTTTGTATCCAATCACCTTCTCTGCTGAATGGGCAATCCGCTGCAACTTGTCTCTATTCGAGGCTGCGGGAAACTAGACTATGATAATTAAGATGAGAACGGACTGTTGTAAAATGATGTTGTAAAAGTTCACCATCATCTTCCCAGGAAGGTGAAACTGTTTTTAGCTGCAATAGAAAGTAAATTGGAAAGCAAAATGACCAGATGTGCAGCTGTTAGTCAACAGGGAGAAAAGGAGAGGAGAAAAAGCGCATCCTTTGGGGAGGATCAAGTATTGATGTTCACAGACATGCTGCTCCAGCTTTATGAGCTGCTGCCTCACTGTTATGAAGTCAGTAATCCACCTGCACTGGGGGCCAGACTCATTCAGCTTGGAGAGCTTGTCTCTAAGCAGACATGGGGGTTGATGTGCAAAGCTGAAGGATGCTGAGGAGGGGGACCATGATGGCGGCATCATCCACAGAACTGTTGGCTCTGTAAACTGTGGTTTTGGAGTGTTAAAGTCGTCGGGAACCAGCCGTTCCAACCGTTGCATTTACGAATTCTCCAGAGTGGTGCCCGACTTTACACGAGTGAATAAAGTACGCGATTGTTGTGGCGGAACATTCGCAAGCAAGTTTGGTTGTGGCCGGTGTCTCGGAAGCATCTTGCTAACCAGTTAGCAACTTAATGCTAGTAGGTTCCCAATGGGAAATTACATTGGTACCAAGTAGCACTTAGCAACAACACTGTCAAGGAATGCTATGGACAGCAGAAAACATGCAAGAGGAGGAGAGTTTTGTGTCGGAGGTTGTGGAGGAGTCACCTCAATCATACATTTATTTAGAGGAGGAAAGTGGGGACAGAGTTGTTATGGAAGAGGACGCCGGGGCGACAGAAGCTTGGTTTGGTGAAGAAGGCTTACAGCTGTAGATGTTTGAGCCCTTGCCTCGCAATGCTGCCAGTTCTGTTAGCTCTACGCCTGCCGAAGAGAAAGACGTCCATCCCCTTAACACTGGGATGTAACTCAAGGGTAAAGCAAACGAGTCTTATTTTCAACCGTTGCGTATATTAGCTGCAAAATATAAATCAAGATGCTATGACCGGAAAATGACCGTTGATATATGATTGGCAAAATTTAGGTGTACAAGCTGACGTATAACTAACTTGCCTGCATAAGATAAAGGAAAAAAAAAACAGATTTTAAGACAGGGTTTTTTTCTCTAAACTTTGGGACAAAATGGCCTGATAAAGAGTAAATTCATATACATGTTTAAGCCAGAATGATTTGACATTTAATTATGGCTTCCCTATAACTTTCAAAGTTTGTAAATCATTGTGGAAATGTTTTTTACTTGGGGAAAAAAAAAACGGTTTTGTTTGCGTTTTCCTACTAAACGTGTAACCATCAATGTTTGGTATTAAATGGGGAGTTAGTTTGCTGGTATTTCATTAACAACGTTGTTTTTGCAGGTTAAAAAGCACAACCTTATAGACACATCTGACTCATACCTCTGATAGAAAAGCCTCATAATGCAGCCCATTCATTTAATCATAAAGATTAAACTTCTGTTTGTCATGAAAATCACACCAGATCTTCCCTTCCCCATATTCCTTGTTTCTCTCATTTTGCCTCTGCTGTGTTAGACTTGGCCTTGGAGCTGTAGCCATAGAGAGCAGCTTGAATGTTTGACATAGCAACTAGCCGGAGCTTCTTGTTTCACTGTGGCTTTCTTGTCCTGCAGCTGTCTTTAACCTGCACTTTAAAGCTACTGCCACATTCCCAAAACCACATTTAGGATCAGAGGAATTTCCTTGTGGTTTGATCTAGGGAGAAAACACAAGCTGGCTTTGTTTGTCGAAGCTCAGAATAATTGTAGAAAAATAAATGTTGGTTTAGACTAAGCCGCTTCTTCAGTGTTGTTGTTTTTTTTGTTTTGTTTTTTCCTAAGTTTGAGAAAATGTTAAATAATAATAATAAACTTGATATTTTCTTTGCTTGTCCGTCCGTGCATGTTGTGTCCCAGGAGCGTAAGGGTGCAGTTGGATACGAATGTTGCCGACGGCCTGTTCTTCAGACTTTCAGCTGATTGAGCAGGAGTGTTGGGTTTCATCATGCTGTTTATTTCCTCCGTCCTCAGTGGGAGTGACGACTGGGAGGATCACAGATCTGTGTGTGTGTGTGTGTGTGTGTGTGTGTGTGTGTGTGTGTGGGTGTGTTTGTTTGCAGCAGCGTTGACATCTCCAGTCTCGGTGTCAGACGGAGATGTAGCCAGTCTCTGCAGGGTACAAGCACATTGCGTCCTCCCTGCTCTCCTCCTCCATCACCTCCCTTCCTTCTCTCTGTTTCTCCATCTTGTCACCTCTTCAGCTAAGCCTTGGATCCAGTCAGCATCATAGTGCAACAACAGCTAACTGAAAAGTTTCTTAATGTGAGTCGCTGTCATCTAGTCCCGCTGTCGATCTCCAGTTGCATTTAGCAACACCGACTGTCCAAACTGTAGTTGTTTATGCCAGCGTTAGGGAGGTAGGGCTCTAACCTGATGCTATTAATACAAACTAATGAACACAATCTGGAAAGGGGGTAGGTGATCCTCTTAGATTTGCTGGCTGAACAGCCAAAGGGGAGGAGCAGGGAAAGAGGAGGGAAAAGCTGTGCTTTACTTTCACACTGTCGTGCTCTCCTACAGCCAAGCTCTGGACTCCTCATCTGTTCAAAGAACTGGAGAATCTGAAAGCTAAACACATGCTTTAAGTTTCGTTTCTTGCCCAAGTTGATTTCCCCTCATATCTCTAATTCCTTAGATTCTCTGGCTGTTTTTTAACAAGGGGCGTGGTGTTTAAACCTGTTATTGTGCTCCGATGTATTAAAATTATTACCTGTTGGCCGTAGTGTTGAACTGACACACAAAGCAAATCTGAAATACTTCCTACCATCATGAACACAATACCAGCTTACTCAGGAGCTAGAATATCAGGCTGTTGGACTCTTAGATCCGATGGCAGGTAAGTGTCTTATTTAATTCTTTTTCAATGATTTCATCTTTCTTTTTTAAGGTTATAAAGGTGCCTTTTTTGGTGAATGCGTAACTTTAATTTCGAGCTCCGATTGGTGTTAAACTTTGGCTCAAATGAATGTGGGTTTTATACTATGAACATTTGGATTAAATCATGACTGCATCTTTTTATAAATCTACTTTTATGTTAACTAAGACAAGAGCGACTTTTGGCTTGTTTTATAGCGTTTAAATGTCCTCGTGTTTGCAGTTTTATTCATTGACAATTATTCATATTCCATGTGTGCTTCAGAGGGTTTTCTTGTTTACCAGCAGTCTGACCTTTTGTCAGCCTTTTTTTTCTCATTTCAAAGCTGCATTCATAGTTTGCACTTAACATTTGGGAGCAACGAACAAAAGCATGATTCAGCACAGTCAGGAGGGCTAATCTCTTATGGCTCCCTGGTTTGGCTTTAACAGATAACCCAGTTTGAATGAACCACGTCTCATATGTAGCTCTTTGCGTCCACTCCCTTGCTTCACCCAGGTGACTCTGATTAGATAAGATAAATCTTTGCCCTTTTTTTGTTTGTTTACCAAACCCCCCCTGGAGACTCCACCTGAGGAGGTATATGATCCCTGTAAAGAATTTAGAGACTGAGAGTTGACTGGATGATTGCAAAGGTCTAGGAATTTCTCTCTTCTAGTCTGCTTTCTACAGTTATGGCCTCTGGCTCTTTACAGTCCTCTCTGGGTGAGGTGTGGATGTCTCGAATACTAAAGTAAGTGCTGCTAAAAATTAGATGCGAGGTAGATTTCTGTCTTAGAATAGTTTTGAATGATTTTCCATTAGTGGTGAATCAGAAGAACTTTAATGCTTTGTTTTTCGGTTAAGTATGACTCATTTGGCCAATGCAGGAATGCTGCAGATCCACAGAGAAAGTTGAGCCTCAGAGAGGTGATTCTGTTTGATGATTAGCCACTGCCATTATGAGCTCAATAACATTTTACTGCTGCAAATGAAGCAGCCATAATACTGCTTTTGCAGTTCCAAGCCACTATCAGTTTCTGTAGATGCAGGAGTTTGGTAATGAGTCACAAAACACTTGCAGTAGTCAGTATTCTCACAAAACACACAACTGCCCATTGAGTTTACTTTGAGTAATTTATGCAAAACTACTCCATGCCTCTGTCCTGTCAGATCCTCATGCCTGATTTGAATCAACTTGATGTTATTTGTTTACTGCCTGGTTACTGAGATGATGAATTTGCTTAGTAGGTACTAGTTGCATGATTCAGCAGGTTAGTAACGATCGACACATGAACAAAGACTGGATTTATGCCTCAATTTTTCATTCACACACCATTTATGTGTGAATGAAAAATTGAGGTATGGTTTTGTTCAACTTCTGGAGGTCCTGAATTGAAAAAAATAAATTCTAAGATCTGATAGTGGTATAGCCTGCCATCAATGTCTTCTTCAAATTCAGGAATCTGCTGCTTTACAGGTAAAAACATTGTATTTCTATGTGTTTTCAAAGTCCAACACTCTATTTGATTTTGGACCAGACATTTTTGTTTCAGTCCAAAAGAGCTGGAGCTTTTTGAAAGAGAAAAGATGGAAATCTTTGTGATTCCAATAGATTTGGTTCTACATGACATGAACACAGTGAAGCAATTATTGTCCATCAAATAAACTCCCAGTGAAAACACAAAGATGTTTGTGACTTCAATGCTATAAAAAGTTCAAGGTTGATAAATGCTTTGTATCTGTGCACCAATTAAACATGGGATTGCACCTCCTAAATCGCAACTTCTGAACTGTGTGAGATAACAAGATTACAACCTCACTTTCACAGTATTAGGATCTTTCAGTTCTGGGTAAAGCACAGTTTACAGCTGTTAACAATGTGCCCGTCTTGTCATTTTGTTTTTTTTTTTTAAAACAAAAGCTATACACAAATTCAAAATCTATTATTTCATATTAAAACATGTTTTAATGTTGAGAAACATAATATCTTCTAAGCATAGATTAGATTCATGGATTAACTTCTTTTTATCATTTGCATTTATCCTTAAATCAGCTGTAAAAGCTCAATTTTAGCTGCCCCGTTTTCTAAATCAGTGTACAAAGTTCAGTTGCTGAAGATTGGAGAAAAAACCTAAACATTAACACGGAAGGAGGTTCAGTAGTTCATCACTGGTACAGTCTTGTTTACTATCAGTTAACTGGGCCACTTTTCATCAGGTTGTGTTTTTACATGCAGGATTTTTCCTGTATTCATGCATTACGCATAAAAATGGTCAACTTTATAAATCATTAAATAAATAAGTTGTTTTGATTCATATGAACCATAAAAGGCAACTTCAGATTGAGGTATATTTAAAAACTGAGAAAACAAAGACGATTTTCTCCTTGCTGGCTCCAGACACTGATCCTGTGACCTGCTGTGTGTTTGTTCATTTAAAGTGGAGGCAGTGAGGGATCGCTGGACAGACTGCTTCCCTCTGTCGGCATGGGCCTTTCTCCCAGGAAGAGGACCACCAGTCAGTGTAAATCGGAGCCTCCGCTGCTGCGCACCTCCAAACGAACCATCTACACAGCTGGTCGCCCACCGTGGTACAACGAGCATGGGACACAGTCCAAAGAGGCCTTTGTCATTGGTAGGAAACTGTTCATAAACAGATATGTTTTATCAGGATCAATTCCTCCTGTTATTTTGTAACGGTGAGACATTAACTAAAAGTAAAACATTTTTCTGTGTGTGCCAAACCATGTGTATGGTCAGTTGTATGCTTTCAGTCTTACTTTTGTAGATTTTCTTCTCCTGTCCTAAATGACCTTTAGTTATTACTTCTTTGTGCTCCATTTTATTTAGAAGTTGCTTTAATCCACGTGTGTATTTGGAAACCATCTCTTGACAATATTTGTTCATTTACTGTGTTGTATTTTTGACTGGGGTGCTAAATAAAAGACAAAACTACAAGTCCCATAATGCAATTCTGCAAATCGTCTTGTTGGTTGACAAGTTTTATTCAGCCTACAGAGAGAACTGGCTTTTCTAAATCTGTTATTAATAACTAGGATTAAGCTTCCTATATATACCTGAAAGGAATTAAAAGTTAGCCACTATGGATTAAAGCATTTATATCAAAAACAGATTAAAAGTTGAAGCTGAGATGCTTAACTTGCTTCAGATATGAAAACATTTTAGGTTTTGCTTATTAGATAATATCTTAGGTTATTTGATTTTGTTATTCATTAAAGTTTGGGGGTTTTAAAGTTAAAGAAAACTGAAGAGTACCGTACTGCAGGGTCAGGGTACCAACAATTATTCAATCAATGCCGCAAAATGTATTCCTGAAGCAGGTCCCAATGGAATTTTATAAAGATTTAGTTTTTGGTTTCTCATCCACCAATAATAGCAGAAACTTCCAAAAGAAAATCACCTCTTAAGCATTTTGCAGGGGAATCAAGTCTTTAAATCCTGTTAAAAATGTTTGTCCTAATTTTGATTAGATCCTATTTCTTTCAATTTATTTATAAAGATATTATTTTGCAGAAATTCCAGGTTACTGGATTACTTTTTATTGAGCCTACCTTGTTCTTTCACTGCAATGACTATCTATGGTAACTGAAAGTTGAAAGGGTTTTTGTAAATAAGAATCTTACAAATCAACCAAACACATCGGGTTCCTGTCTTCTAAGAACAACTACTAGATCTGATCTATAGAAAGGCCCTGATATTTCCAGACTTTTGATTCTTTTATCATTGCTGCATAAAATGCATCCTATGTAATAATAAACAGATCATACAAACATTTTTGTTATGCAATATATCCATATTGTTTACTATGGTGTGAGAAAACTCAGGCCAGAGAGAGCTGGATGTTAGTGAAAGTAAGCCAGGAAGTGTGACAAACTCCTACGCATTGCTGCCTCAGTGCTTCACCATCTAAGAGGCACAACTGAATCTTTGAATCAGACTCTAAATAAGAACAAGATTCAGACAATTTGATTTAAAAAATAAAATTATCCACGGTAAAACCAGCTAGCTTAATTGCGTTTTGGGGGTCAAATTTTATATTTATTTATTTTTTTTTGCTCACCAGAGATTTACAGGTTTGATAAATTATTGAGAAATAACTGTTGTATGAATGATGACATCAATGTGACACCAACTGTCAAATACTATCTCAGTGCAATCAACATCAACTTGCGTCTATATTTAAGTAGTAAAAATGTATGTGAAAAATGCAAAAAGGAAACAAGCCTGTGGAGCTAAAATGAGAACAGAACCCCTATAGAAAAATGACATAGACTCTTTGTTCATGAAGAATAAGAGTTCAAAGCAAAACGGACTTAAAATCATTCAGTAAAGATATTTTTGGCCAAATATTGTAACAAATCCAACTTTTTCTCACACTTCTGTTTATCTGACATTGTGAGACTTATCTCTCTATTTGACCTTTAGTACTTTCTGCTTTTCTATTGTGACAGGTCTTTGTGGAGGCAGCGCGTCAGGAAAGACGACAGTCGCCAGAAAAATCATCGAAGCTTTAGATGTTCCCTGGGTTGTTTTACTCTCAATGGACTCCTTTTATAAGGTATGTATAATAAAGCAGTATGTTAAATTTGTTTCATCTGTTTTCAAAAAAGGAAATTGTCTAGAGCTGTTTTAAACGAAATTTCTTTTTGTTTACAATTGTGTATACAAAATGACAAAATAAATCTATGATCTAAGATATTTACTCCTTTCTTAATATTTTTCATAAATGGAGGCATATTCAAATGCAGACAAATAAAACAATATGATTTTTGTTTTTTGTCTGGCTACTCGCATCACTCTCCTCCTCTGAAGGAGAGTGATGCGAGTCATTTTATGCGAGTCATTTTATTTCTGTCCTTTAGCCCCCCACCGGGCCTAAAGGACAGAAATAAAATGAAAAGAAAAAGAAACCAAAGTAAAGTTGAGTTAAAATCTTGAGGGGGTTTAAACGCAGTAAAAGACGAGACAGGAGGTGAGTGAATTAAAAAGACTTAGTGCTAGAGTCAAATGAGAGACAGTATTTCTGCCCCTCTTCATGTTCGCCCACTCTGGTTGCGTAATCCTATTCTACAGGGGGTCATACCCGAACGAGGACTGGTGCTGTTAAAGCTTTCAGCCCAGTTTCTCGCTGCATTAACTGAGATTTCTTTTTACCATTAGCAGCTCAATTTTTCCTGTTGGAGTCGCTTACAGCCCACACACAGCGGGGAAAATCAGTTTGTCATATTTAGTGTGTAATCAGCTCACTTAAGAAGGAGGTGTTGGTGTTCAGAAACTGCCAAATAGCAGGTCTGGGCTTTTCAAAGCACAACCAGCCTAAGGGTAGACTCACACACACACACACACACACACAGAGACAGCACCTGGTACAGACGTCACAGTGGCGCATGATGTTCTACTAAATTTAGGTTCCTAACTTCAACTGCACTTGAACAAGGATCAGTAATTTATATCTTGCTAGTGTCCGACTCTTAGTTTCTACAAATGAGTTGCATGTAATTATTATTAATATTTAAGGGTTTGTGTTTTTTTTTTTTTTTTTTGCATCATAAAAACACATACGTATTTTTCTACAGTGGAAGTTATGCTGCACTGAAGCAATGTCCCTGTCCTCAGGTCCTGTCCCCTGAAGAGCAGCTGCTGGCAGCCAGCAATGATTATAACTTTGACCATCCAGACGCCTTCGACTTTGATTTGCTGACGCACACCCTGCGCAAACTCAAACAGGGCAAGAGTGTGAAAATCCCAGTCTATGATTTTGCCACTCATGGGAGACAGAAGGAGTGGGTAAGGAGGATTACACAGTCTATGTTGTGTCGCATCAACTTCCTCACATTTTCTCACGTTAAAACCACAAGCTATTTTAATGGGGTTTTAAGTGATTAGCCCAGAGGTTCCAAAAATGTTCTTCATGGGCCTCTTCTATTTTACTGTTCAAACATTTTTACAATTTCAGTCAATATGCTTAATTTTAACTACCTCTCCCAATTGGTCACTTATCCAGTTAATTTCTACCATTCTTTCCTCCAATTAAACTGACCCCAGAACAGTGTGATAAACTGGCGGTCCGCCCAGGGCTAACCCTGCCTCTTGCCTAAAGACTGCTGGAGGGACGATAATATTCAATGTTCTCTCTCAGTTCTAAACTATCTACTACTTGATGTAATTAATTAGTAATAGCAGCCTTGAGATGAAATGTGTTTTAATTTAAGGGGTATATAAATAAACTTAATTTAATAGAATATCCATAGATGAAAAAACACACTTTTCATGGTGTAATGGAGGAAAAAATCTCTACAATTAAAGAGGAAGGAATACTTTTTTCCCTGTTGTTCTTTTCCAGCCTTCCTTGGTTATTAATTAATCTGATCCGTCACCATCTCACTGTTTGAGCAGTTAACCTGAATGTTATGTCTCTGATTACCACAGAAAACAGTTTATGGAGCCAGTGTCATCATCTTTGAGGGAATCATGTCCTTTGCAGATAAAGCTCTGCTGCAGGTAACTACTGATCTGCAAATCATTGAGAAAGCCTGGTTTGGTTCATAATTTCATGTCTTGTGTTTTATCATAATGGAATATGCAGGAAAACCGAGGTAAATCTTCGAATTATGTTTTCATAAGTATTTCCTCTCTTTGCAAAGTAAACAAGCAAGAAAACCTCATATATATGCGTATGTAGACTGGTAAAAAGGAGCAGAAAAATGACTAAATAAAATTAATTCAGTGTCTGTGCTGTATATTTTTCTCACAAAAGAGTTTGGTATTTTTACCTTTAAATGTCAATCATTTATAAATATATTAAAAAATTTTTATCCCCTTTTCATTGATAGTTGTTTAAATCCTAGCATCCAAACTATTTTTTTTTTATTTCCTTTATCCATCACGGTAATACTATAGAGAAACATTTTCAGTAAATATTTTGAATAAATATATTTTTTTACTCATCGTCATCTCTTTTTCATTATACATTTTTATTCTGATTAATAAGGACGCATTCCACACCATTGTTTAAAAAACATGGCTACTTGTAAAAATTATTTGTTTGGAATGCTATTGTGTTTTTTAATAGAATAACTTTTTAAGGTCTTTATTATTTTATGAATTGTAATAATTTTTGATATACCTTTCAAAAAGATGTTTATTTCCCACCAATATTAATCCAGTTTGTCGCAAATTGAAATAGTTCAAATAAAAAAGACATTACAGTCGGTAATCTTAACTGAAACAGTTAAAAGGGTTTATTTCAGTCCTTCAGCATTATTACCCATTAATCAAACAAGTTTCAGTAGGTTTTACTTTTGGAGATTTTATCCATGATGAAAAATAAAATATTTAATACATGTGAAAAGATGCTTATTCACCACCAACCTATTAGATGTCCATGTTTAGCTTCATTTGTATCTGTTTAAAATAAAACTTTATTTTGTACCAATCGTTTTTCTGGCCGTTTCTTCAGCTGCTCGACATGAAGATCTTTGTGGAAACCGACTCTGACATCCGCTTGGTCCGTCGGCTGAGGAGGGACATCATGGAAAGAGGCCGAGATATCGAGGGCGTCATCAAACAGTACAACAAGTTTGTAAAGCCCGCTTTTGAGCAGTACATAGAGCCCACCATGCGCCTGGCTGATCTGGTGGTGCCACGAGGTGAGCGCTCACAAGCACACTGCATGAACCAGTCCAGAAACAAAGATTCGACCTAAAGATAAAGATTAAACCTGTGGTATAACAGATAAATGAACCCTGCAAATACATGAGCTGTTGTCATCCTGTTAGGTGGTGGCAACATGGTGGCCATTGACCTGATTGTGCAGCATGTTCACAGTCAGCTAGAGGAGGTAAGAGAGGTCATAACTCAGAATTTTACTGACCTAAACAATCAGATATTCAAATAGATGTTAGTATAGTCCAATTTCCCTTCATGCGTCCTTGTTTGTGTTGTTTTATTACAGTACTGATGCTTAACAATCATCTCTCTGTAGGCTTGTTTTTACTCATACCCCTACCATATTTAACAAGCAAGTGTTGCCACTCCCTCTAGTGGATGATGGTTGTACTGCCTACATTTTAAATACTTTTTTTTTGGGAAGTGTCTTTGACTTCCCAATTTATTTTATTTATTTATTTTTTATTTCTATTTAAAGTGCACTTAACAAAGAAGTGCGTAGTTTAATTTTTTGATTTTTGTGTTGAAAAATCATCGATAAAACATAGATTATAAGGCATTCAAGATGTTTTCCTGTCTGGTTTTGGTTAATTTCAGAAAAAAAAACTATAGCAGAAATGGTTGTACTTTTGTACAATTAAAAAAAAACTGCCCGGTTGCATCATGGGATCTCACCACGTTTGTTTAATGAATGTTAGATTTTATCATAAAATGAGCACAATACACAGAACAAGTTATGATATATTTTATCTAGTGGTTGCAAACTTTTAAGTTAAGCTGCTCTGTTTCTACAGCCGTGGCTGCTTTCATCTATGATATACTGTCTGCGATCCCATGATGTTGTTAATAGGGGGCGACTCATGATGCTGGCTTTTGGTCTTTAGAAACAACGGCACTAATCACCAGTTTTGTTTTTGGGGGGAGCACTTCTTTTGTTATGGCATAGTTTGCTTTTTTTTTGTCCTCCCCACCACAAACACAATATCACACATGCTGCTGATGGATTGCTCTCTCACTCTCTCCCCCCCATCCGCACCCTCCTTTGCTCACAGCGCGAGCTCAGCGTCAGGTAGAGTGGCCTTTATCTTGTCTGTCTTTCTCTCTTTGACATCTTCCCAGTTCTCCCATTGCTGCAGCTTCTTACTGGAAGGAAGAGAAATAATCGCTGAACACAGACCAACATTTTTTCTCTCCATCATGCTGGCTGCCATGACACTTCAGCAGGCAATGCTGTTATACCTTCTATTGATGAGGGACGTAGTTGTCAGCAGTTTAGCACTATGGTGGGAATCTGAGCCCACATATATTATCGTGCTCGCAGATGTTTCCCACATTTTGTTGCATTACAACCACATAACAAGAAATTATTTTTTTAACAAATAATAATCTGTAAAATGTAGCATACATCTTTAACATCTTTCAACTAGTTGCTTTCAGAAATTACCTAAAAAGTTAAATGGACCTACCTGAGTATAGGTAGATGATATTGATGAACAGTAATCAGTAACTTAAAGGAATGCAGCTTAGTTCATCATCTGAAATCAGAAGTAATGTGACCCAGCTGTAAAGCACCCCAGCATAAGTAACAGGCTGTGCAAGGAGTGCTTTAACCAATGAACCGGTCTGTTACTGAAGATTCTCAGTCATCCAGGTCATAATCAGTCCAAAAAAGTTAAAAACAAACCACTGGACTTGTTTTCTAAGTCTAAAGACATTTTGCTTTGCATCCAGGAAGCTATTTCAATTCAAAATGTCTGGATTAACGTTTAGTTCCAGGCTTTTATACATTGCAGCAATGAAGTTGATTCCTTCCTGCTATCATCTCAACCCCCATCGCTATGCAAGGGAGCAAAACATCTCGCCTGCTCAGCCAGGCCAACAATGACCCTAAAGACTCCCTTTTCAAAGGCATAGGCCAGTATTAGGTATTGCAGGCCAACAACAACCTCAACAACTCCCCATTACTAAGGGGTGGACCTGTTTTTTGGTTTAATTTGCATGTTTTCTAAGCAAAAAAAAAAGCTTTGTTGGGCTGCTCTATAAAGCTTGGAACTCAACGCTAATCCAGTCAATTTGAATTGAAAAAGCTTCCTGTTTCTTTTTTTTGGTTTTTACTTTTTTTTTACTTTTTTGGAATGAAATGGTCAAGCTGATCAGCAGGGATCCACATCACAGCTGGGAGCAACAGTTGCTCCACTGATAGTAGTTTTCACTTGTCAAATCCAACCTTTTTATTGTTAGGTGGAACAAAGAAATCCCCTTTGTAGTTCGCCACAAGCCAAGTGGGGAAACAGCAGACACCAGCAAAGAAGCTGCTCTTGTCAAATTAGACCAGAAATGATTATTTTTGGCCCCATGCTTCCTGTGTGCTAGAGGCAGCAAAAGCTTTCAGGCCGCAACAGAAGGCAGACTGAATGTGCAAGGATGGTAATGAGACCCACACATGTAGCTTTGACAAAAGTTTATCCTCTAAATTTAGAGTCAGGGTTTCCTCTCAAATCTCCATTATCTATTGCTTCTTGCTGGTCTGGTTAATAAAATCTACCTAAAACTCCTTATATTGTGTGGTTGTAATGTGATGGACTATAAAACCTGAATCCACATCTCTGGATCAATTCCAGATCTATGAAAACTGTGGTTGAATAAGTTTGAATGTGTCACGCTGCAGCCAGCATTCAGAGTGAAGGTGTTGGTTTTGCCTCTCTTGATGTTCAAGAAACTACATCTCACACTCTTCCTGACTTCTGTGTCTAAAAATACAGCAATGAGTCGGAGCAACTGACCCCTCCTTTCAGTGGCAACAACCGAGAAGCAGAGAGAGATTTTAACAGAAAGCTGAGAAAGAGAGAGGAAGCGCTCGCTGCAGCTATAGTTGATTATCACATACCTCAGCCACAGAGAAAGTTTCCAATACCCTACTACAAAGCAGCGAGTTTTTCCATTGAATGTCGGCCACAGTAGACGAAGCAGACAGAGAAAGGAAGTGAGGTTGGTGTCTGTCTTTAGACACAGGATGTGCTGGGGCCTGTGAGCTGAAATACCAACCTTTACTGTTTTACACGGTGAAAGAGTGACAGCCGCACCAGCGCTTGTGCACCTCCCACGCGTACACACAGTGGATGCACATGCAAATATCAAAATCTGATCCAGTTCTGTTTTCTACTGTATCTGTAGAAACCTGTAAACACATGGCCTACAAGTGGAGGTCTTCATAGTATCGTGAAATATATCCACTATTGAGTGTCTTTGACACTGAAATGACAATTTGAAACATTTTTTAGATAGTCTGAGCTGTCACGCTTTACACTGTGATTATCCTTCATCTTTTCATTTACCTGATGTTTTGTCTCTTCTCATTTGTCTTCTCCTATCTGTTTGTCTTTTCTTTGTTCCCTTCTGTGCAATTGTTGTACTTTCAACCCAAAAAAAAAAAAAAACACAAAAAACTCTCCCGTTAGAGGAAACTTCGCTGGGATATGTGAGCAGATTTGCTATGATTTTGCTTTCCTTTCCTTCGGCGTATCTCTAACTTTGTGATGCTGTTGATATTTTGTAGTGTGAACACAACTGCATCACTTGGTTTTTATAACGGTGTGTTTGCTCCCTTGAAGATCAAGATCAACCTGTGATATTTTCAGAACTACTGTCTGAGTGAATAAACAGAGACCAAATTGAAAAATACAAATAATGTCAATTATATTTTATTTAAAGGACATATATCATCACTTTTAAACACTTCAAATTTGTTATTTCCTTCCATAAAAGGAGAAATATGCAAAGATAAATAAAATATCATAGAGAAAAAAAAGCAGAAATCCACCTACAGTAAGGCAGCGATGGCAAATGTTTGCCTCCAATTTGAGATCTTGAAGTGAAAATCTTTATGGCTATATTTTTGTAAAAGTTTAATAAGCAGTAGCTGGGAGACTTAACAAACATTAACCCTATAGAGAAACTGAACCTTCTTCTATACATGGAATTATCTCTTTTTATTTTACCGCTTTTGATTAAAGATGTAATTCCAAACAAAATTCTGGAATCATTCAGGGAGATTTTTGCCATTTCTGCTCCAGTTGTGACTTTATAACCAGAAGTCAGCAGTGTTATTATACTATATATATTAAATATGTTTTTACACACAGTCTGTGTGGAACTAAACTGTAAGATGTAGCAGTCTGCGTTTTCCTTTTGGCTGAGGCATAGCGGTCTGACTATTCACTGCCTGATGGAGCTATGAATAGTAGCCATGGCATAAATCTGAATCAACATTTCCAGTTATCTAATAATCCTGCAACAAGTAGTGGTGAGAAGAAATCCATCTTACCTTCCAGTGTTTGTTTGTTCATTGATGATATTTGAAAGAAAAGCTCTTGGTTTATCCTTTACAGATGCTACATGCTTAATCACATATTGATGCAACCTGATTTACTCGCCATAAGATAAAAAGCTGTTGAAATAACTGGTCTCTAAGTAACCAGAAATTGTTGAAGATTTTCATTAAACTTCAAGGTTTTTCTGGTTCTAAAATATGATGATATATTTCCTTTAACTTGACTTTAGTTTTTCATTTTTATGAGAAAATCATTTTTAGATCTGTTTGGATTTCTTGTTTGTATCCATTATCATGGTCTCTGTGCTATTTTCTTCTCACTAAAGCTGTGTGCTCTTCAGTTTTAAATCATTCTTTTCATTATTGATTCTGGCTAAAGTATGATTTTAATGACTTTTGTTTTGTTTTTTTTTGCAAATTTGCTTTAACTACTACAGAAAAAGATCTGAATGATTTATTGTTTTATTTGCATGTAAATTCCCATGCGTGTGTTTTGGTTTAATTGAATGTAGAAGCGTGTGCACGCCTCCGTGTGAACCTTAAACTATTTCTGCACAACTCTTAATTACGCTTGCATTCATTTGTGGTTGCACTCAAGTCTCTGTCCATCTTTCTTTCCGTTGTTGGCACTCTCCCCCTCTGCCACCCCCGCTTTACTATTTGTTGCCGTGGTTACAGGGCAGCCCTGGCTTCTGCACACCAGGCCCAACCCCTCCCCCAGACCCTCAGCGTTCTGGAGAGCACACCTCAAGTCAGGGGCATGCACACCATCATCAGGTAAAAGCTAATGTGTGACAGAGAGAGTTTTCAGGATGAAGCTGCTGCTGTCTGAATAATAAACCATGTAACCTTTTTTCATTTTATTTAGAAACAAAGAAACCAGCCGTGATGAGTTCATCTTCTACTCTAAGAGGCTGATGCGCCTGTTGATTGAGCGTGCGCTCTCCTTCCTCCCCTCACAGGTTTACATTGAAATAAATATGTTTATGCATGAAATTTATATCAAAAGCATAAAGTCAACCAGCAATCCGCTGGTGAGAAAGAAAAATGTGCATGACTCTAAAAGTTGGAAAGCTTTAAAAAAAAGAAAAAAAAAGACAAATGGAAAGATAACTTGTTTAAAATAGACATTGAAGCTCAGATGACCTGCATGGAAAGTTAGAAACTCACCACAATGGAAAGTTTTCAAACCTTATTTCCCAACTGCTGTTTGTTTCACAAACTCACTTCGGAGCTTTTAATGCCCCTTATTGTGTCAGAATGTATTTTCTGCTGTACAGTAAGCAGCTCTGTGTTTAAAACTGAGATGATCTCTAACATTAACTCAGGTCCATGTAGTGCAGACCCCCCAGGGAGAGGACTATGAAGGCAGGAGTTTCCATGGAAAGAGGGTGAGTGAGCTGCATTTCATTTTCCACAAAATAGTTACTGTTAAAAACTCTCAAAACAATGTTCTGTCCATCTGAAACCGTGTAATGATTGTAATCTTTTATCAAGATAACTGGGGTTTCAATCTTGCGTGCCGGAGAAACCATGGAACCCGCACTGAGGGCCGTCTGCAAAGACGTCCGCATCGGAAAGATCCTCATCCAGACCAACCAGGACACAGGAGAACCAGAGGTACACGTCTACAATTATGTCCTGGACACATTGATATTCTGCTCTTACTGTCTGTGGCCTAAAGGGAGCATCAGGCTTTATTTAGCTAAGAATCCAAATACTTCATCATTAATCCCTAGATTTAGTCGATGCAGTTAAGCAGTCTTTAGAAATAACATAAGTAAAAATACTTTAATTAGGGGATGTATATAATGCATCAGACAAACTTAAAAGTAAATGTTTTAATATTTAGTTATTTTAAAAAGGTGCTATTCACTCAGTTTGTAAAGTTAGAAGCGGTGTCATTCTTATTCCACCACATTTTCCAGTTTGGGCTCTGATGGCTGTATGGGGGAGATAGTTTGAAGGACACCAGTTTAAACAGTTGAGTCACATGATAATATTGTTGTTCTTAAAGGTCATGAAATATTACTCAACTAATATTTCTCCTGTTTTCAACAATACCATTAAGTAATGCTTTATTTAAAATAAAGCATCTTAAACTAAAATTCCTTTTCTATTTTGTTTCTCATCTTTTTGCTGTAAAATAGAAAAATAAATGATGATTTTTAAAATGTTTAACTCTGTGGGATGAGTAAATAAAAAAATGTTAACATGCAATTAGAGTTTTAAGAATATAAACGTTTAAAAAGAAGTGACTTTGAAAGGTGTTTAACTTTGAGTTTTTTGGGAAGGTGTGAGAACCCTGAACGAGGCAGCAGGTCACTGATGTCACGATTTTGGTTTTAACCACACTTCCTGTTTGCACATTTTCAGCTCCATTACCTCCGTCTACCCAAAGACATCAGCGAGGACCATGTGATACTGATGGACTGCACTGTGTCCACTGGGGCTGCCGCCATGATGGCTGTTCGAGTTCTGCTGGTTCGACAGATCATTGCTTCATAAATCGCATTCATTAAGCTGCCTTCTGTGCTTAACCTGTTTGTTTTTGCTGTGTGGTTTTTATTTTCAGGACCATGATGTCCAGGAGGACAAAATCCTGTTGGTTTCTTTGCTAATGGCGGAAATGGGAGTCCATTCAGTGGCCTACGCGTTCCCACAGGTTCAAATCATCACCACAGCCGTGGATAAGAAGGTCAATGATGTTTTCCACATCATTCCTGGCATCGGTGAGTAATATTCATGAGGACAGTGCGCCGGAAAAAATGGTTTAAGTTTATTTTTTCCTTTTCATTTTCACTTTTATCATAGAAATGCATGGATGAGACAATTCTAAATTTTCACTAAAACACTTAAAAAATATTTCTGCATGTGGTTTAATAGAGAAAATGGTTGTGAATCCAACATAAACAAAAGAAATCAAAAGATTATCCAGTGATTGATCCCTAACCTTTATCTGATTTTTATTAAAGTTCCTCAGACTGGGCTGATTAGATGAAGGGAAAATATGCCTGTTTGTGTAACTGATTATCACCAAAAATGTTTTATTTTTGTAAATCATCTTTTTGTTCCATACAGGGAACTTTGGAGATCGATACTTTGGAACAGACGCACCACCTGACTGGAGCGACGAGGACATGGATGAACCCAGTTACTGACGGCAGCGCAGGGTTTTAGGGACTGTGGCCTTTTTATTGGCAAACTAAAGAATCGCTCTGCGTCTCTCTTTCTGTTTGGGTCCTTCAAGGATCAAACAGGAAAAAATTTAAAAATAAGTCCAAGAAAATAAGAGATTGCAAATTTACACCCTAAACTGTATATTATTGCTTTTAAAATCACATTGGAACATTTTTGAGGAACGGAACTGTTATGAATTCAAAGTATTTTTATTTATAAAACTTTATTATAAAGTTTAAATGTTGTATTTATACGCCTACATTGCGACAATCTTACAAAGATGTATATTTAGCCTTAAGTCATGTACTGTGGACGACAGCTGAATGTGAACTTGCACGTGTTATGGAGGGAAAAAAAAGAAGAAATTTCAACTATTTGGGTTTATTTTTATTCTTCCTTGGAATATTCAGAGTAAAACCTTAACATCAACTATTCTCGCTCAGCTACCATCGCTGTGAGGCCTTTTCTGAAGGATCATTCAATCGGAAAATGTGTGGGTGTTAGTCTTTTATTTTTTCACAGTCACGTTCAACCTTTTCCTTCACCCTGAATACTGACCTAACCAGCCTAAAAAGATGTTGAAATATTGATGTTCATTATACAGCTTTAAGCATGTCTTTATATATATGAATATATATTAATGCTTTATGTCGGCCATTTTTGTTGGCTATTTTTACAGATAAAGCAGCACAGGACAGTTGTGCATCTTTTTGTTGCTGTGAAAATGGGTCATTCACATAAAGCAAACTGAATAGGTGTTTGTTTCATTCTCATGTGTGGTTTTAAACCAGTGGGCGGGATTGGTCATTTGAAAATAGCGCTCTAATTTTATCAAGGTTTCCAGATCGTGCCTGATCTTCTGATAAGGGAGCAATTTTAAATACAAATGATATATCAGCTTCTCGGAGTTGCTGCCTTGTCTTTAGTTTAACATCAACTCATTTACCATATGTGGGGTTATACAATAATAATAAACCACTATGTTTAATTACATGTTAGATTGATATCAAATTGTTAAAAAAACACACATATAAATAATTGCTCTACTTTTCCATGTTACTCTACAGTAAACAGTTTTTGCATACTGAAAGCATATGATTGTAATTGCTTGCCATTTAATGGTCTTTGAACATTTTACTTTTCATTTTTACCACCACTGTCATTGTATTGATTTTTTTATGCCAGATCCAAATGTGTTATTTGTTTACTTAAAAGGAAAACGATACATTGTTTTTAAATTATTTTGCAAATAAAATGATCTGAAAAGTGTGGCATACAGTTGTAATCCCTGTGTAAATAATTAGCAGGTTCTCCTTTTCCTGCAGGAATGGCTGTAAATCTTGGCATGTCTACCAGCTTTGCACTTTAACTTACGGAAAAACTTTTCACATTCTTAATGCAAAAAAACAAACTCAGCTTTTCATCCAGATTGTAAAACAGGCCATAGTTTGATTTACGGTAGATCTGACAATGCCATGTCATTAATAAGCTGTTCTAAAATGGCTCTTTTTACACTGTTGCAGGCATCATTCTGCTTGGAGGTGAGACTCCACCACAGTTTCAAGCTTCTTGTAGTTTCTAACAAATTCCTTCTAGACCTTTCTTTCACCCAAGACATCTTCTTTGTCTCTGCTAAAAAAAACTCCTACAGCATGATTCTTCCACCATTGATTTTTCTCCATTGAAATCTTCTTTATAAGGTGTTGTGCAATGTTAGGTTCCCTCCATGGATGGGATTAGTTTGTCGTCCAGAAAGCTCCATTTTGACATATTCTATCCAGAGCATGTTGCAGAAGTTTGCTGTTCCCAGTTTTAGATGAAATTTACCAGGTGGGGCCAGTGATTTTAGGGGGGCAAAGAACAAAAGAATGGCACATGAAAGAAAGAACAGCATGAGTGCATGTGTTTAGATTAGTGATCCACAAACTTTTTTAAGTAATGTTCAAGTAAAATGTTAAGGTGAAATAATAAATTGGTCACAATGAGTATTTGAATGCAAAAACGGATCTAAAAAGTTTAAGTTTGTAAATATTAGCATGTTTTCCCTTAATTTGATTAAGATATCTTGCTGAAGGAGGATTTTGGCCCTTAAAACAAGATGATTAAATACTGTGCTCTTGAAATAGGATAATAGTTGTTTTGTTAAACATAAATGATCTTATTCCATCTACTACCTACTTACAACAAGGCAATATGCACTTATTTAAAGAGAAATTTCCTTACTTGTACTATTTACATTTTTGCAGTGTTTTTAGTACAGGGGCCTGTTGGGGCCAGGGCCCTGTAGAAGGGGCCCTGTCTAGAACTGCTTTGTCCACTACTTTGCTTTTTAGCAGGCTGCAAACAGGAAATCTACTCGTTTTCTTTTAGCTTGTCTTCCATATAGGCCAGATTGGTATAGTGGGGTTCTAAAATTGGTTTTAAAAATACTCTTACAAGTTAGATATGAGTTTTTGCACCCCTTGTTAGTGCTCTAAACTTTCTAATTATTACCTTGACTAATATGTCGGCCATCTGCAGTGGGTACCCATGTCCCGGTGGGTTTGTATTTGTGCCATAACCTATTAGACTTTAAATAAAGGGTTAAACACAGATTGTTCACTGGTGTTCTCCGATAATTTCGTGAGGCATTTGTTGAACAACTGCAATTGTGTCGAGATCAAATTTTATAAATTTGGATGTAATTACTAATATGGTGTCTTCTGAAGATGATTTTGTGCTCTGGATTTTATTTTGGGGTATCAGTATAAAGGAGGCTGAACACAACAGCAGCTCACACTGCTTAGGTTTAATTAATTTTTCTTACTCTTCATAATTCTGCATTACTCATCAAAAAGCCAAACAACAAAAGCATTGTAGTTATTTCACAAAAATGTGATTCATGTTTGCAGGACATGAAATAATTTGGAAAGAAATGTTGATAACAGTGTAATCAAAAAGTGTTTTTAATGAGCTTTCTCCTGTTGTACCACTTTTGTAAATCAAGACTCACAGAATGCACTTAGCAAATGCAGCTAATTTGATATTAAACTGTTCTGCACAGGCATGTGCATTACCTGTGCTCTATTGAGGAGGAACAGGAAGGATACTGTGGTTGTCCTCTTCTCATGGAAAGTAACCTCACTGTCTTCCATTAGTTTCCATAATGATCGTCCTGACAGCTGTCGAATCGTCATTCAGCATAAAATTATGGTCGACATGCATCTCATGAGGCTGCGAGACAATTACACACTGCTGGCCTGCTGGGTGGGTATCGACCCACACAAATCATGGTTCTTCTCTTATAGGGGAAGTGTGAGGGGGACGGCAAACAGACATGCAGGAGATCAAAATAGAAAAATTTCATTTCAACACTAATGGGTGAACATAAGAGATTTTGAAGTTCTGATTCATGCACTTTGTTTTAAATACTACTCTGTTGAAGAATTTAAAATGGAAATCTTTCCCTTATAACATTTTACATTGAAAAAAAAATGCTGGGTTTAAAAGTAAAAGCTCTACAAAAATGCATAAAATCTATATGAATGAAGCTGTCAGTGGAAAGTTCAGTACCGGCACTGAAAACAGGAAGGTGGTTTGTCACTGTGTGTTTGTTGCATCCCCATTGGTAGCACAGAGCATGATGAGGTCACAGCCTGCAGGAGTGGCCGTTATAACTAAAAGACCTGAGTTTCTTTTCTCATCTCGCATCACGAGCTTTCACCAGGTTGCTCCTCTTCACTGTTTATCTTTTTTCTTTTGTCTTTTGTCTTTTACTCAACATCTACCTGCCCGTCTTGATTGGGTGTGAGGAGCCTCAGAGCCTGCCATGTGGGTAAGGAGCATGCTCTGAACACTTTCAAGGCTCTTCATGCAGGATTAGGCTTTGCAAAGGTATTACAATTACTGCAATTGCTGTTGTTAAAACGTGGGTAATAATCATGCTTTATGGCTGCTATTTGTTTGGCTTAGTGTGCAATCAGGCTTTGAGGGTGTAAGGGTTGGACATGTGATGTGATGTAGGCCAACGGAGAGCAGCAGCTCTGTGCTGATAGTTGAAAATGAATTATTCAGACAATGAAGTATTTCTGAATCACACAAAGAGGGTTTAGATTAGCGTGTTTAAGAGGGTGAAGTACTACATTTCCCTTCTCCTCCTCCTTCGCCCCTCAGCCTCTCTTTGTCTGTGCGTCTCATTGTGCACTCTCCATCTGCATAGTTTAATATGAAAGTAGAATCACTGAGGCACTGGACAGTCCTCATCAAGCCAGGCCAGGGGCATTCACATGTTCTCAGCGAGACATGCAGTTTGTGCGTTATGCCGAGATGGTTGAGTGTTTAATTGCTCTGAGTGCAGGTCAGCAGGCAACAGTAGACAGATGTGGTGCTATGCTTTAGAGAGTGTGCATTAAGTTTTCTGAAATTGAATCAGAAAAGCAAAAACATCACATCCTATTATGCTTAATCGACCTTCTTAATAGCGGCTATGCTTCCGAAATACCATCTGATGCTTATAAACTATATATCTATTTATAGGCACCAACATTTGTTGAAGGAAAACAAGCAAATCAATAGAAGTGAGGGATTAAACAAGAAGCAAAAAGAGAAATCTGTTTCATGACGTTTATTTTAGAAAGAAATCTCCCTCTTTTTTTCCCAGTCTGGATGAATGTTCTTCCCGCCAAAATTGGAGGCATGCAGCTCAGACCTAAAACGGTTTTTGATGCTGGATGGTCTCTTTTAAGTCGCCCTATGAAATGTGACAAATGGACCAGATATTTTAATAACATTTAAGTTTCAAAGTTATTAGCAATGTGGGTAACCAATAAGAGATGATGACTTTTTATTAGGGAGAAGAAAATCTTTAAATCCTTGTACATGTACAAAACTGTATCTAAAGCAAGTATGTTAAAGCATACAAATTTCATATCTTTTCATCTCTTGGTTTTTTTATGTTTGTCAGGTACTTTTGCCTTTGTCGTGGACTCTGTGAGGTGAAACTCACAGAGCGGCTGGACCGAGACCTGCGGCCGCTCTTTTACTACTGAGTGGTTCTTTCCAGGACTGTCCAACCTGAGAATGGTGATTTCAGGCGCAATCTCAGGTTCGTCAGCCCATGAAACGCCATCTCTACTCAGCAGATTGTATGGAGGAACGCCAAAAAAAACCCTTTACAAATAAACACAGAAAGCTGTGAGAAAAAAGTCTATAAAATGAGACTTTAATCCTTCTGAGATTAAACTTTTTATTTGGTCATCAATGGTGAAAAAAATGTGGCTTTCCCTTCATTGCTTAAGGATTATTTTTTCAGGCTCTGTTAATTCTCTTCTATTGGAGGAAAAAACATGAATAAAGTGCTTTACTCTTAAATTATAACAAAAAACTATTTCCTCTTCTGAACTACCACTGCCTGTTAACCAGAAGAGGGAGCAATTACATTAACTAAAACGGAGAGAGGCATTCAATCAGTCAAAATTAACTTTTATGATTTATTTTTTTTCATTGCTGTTTTAAAATGTGAAGATAAATCTAATTTTCACTGTCCTCCGTTTCCTTTCCCCAGCCCAACGCCGGGGTCCTCGTACATTATTCTATAGTTAGAATATTGCCTTCCCTCCAAAAGATTTTATTATGATAATGGAAAAAATCAAAAGAAGTCTTACAGAGAGAAGCAAATGTTAATTTATTTTATCTGCTGACATCTGTTAAGGATCAACATCTTTCAACATACTCAACAAAAACAATAATGATGAACTTAGATGCTTTCCGATTTCCAGTTGCGTTTTGTGGAAGGAGCTCAAAAACCTATGGCACGACTATATTATATCCGGAAAAGATTGAAATGTATAGAAACATTTGAATCTTTTTATTTTATTAAACTGGTTTGATAATTTATTCCTGACATGAATTTGACCTGTTTATTTTTAGTGCCTTAAGAACACATACTGTATGTTGTGAATCGTTACTTTAAATAGAGGAGAAAGAGACTAATATAAGAAGAACATATGAGAACAATGAGTTTAGGCTCTAATAGAGTTACATCCCAGTCATTTTCTGTATACATTTTTTTTTCTATTTTTGTTAAACCATGTGTAGATGTACTTTCAAAATATTATAGTGCATAATTCGTCTAAACAATATACCATTTATCTTAGATTTGGTCATGTCTGACCGAGCTGTAGAAAAGAGTCTTTTTATAAAACATTGTGCATTTGTTCTTGTTCTTTGTACTAAAACATGAAGAATAATGTGTTTTCCATTAGCT